TGCTCGCAGGTATGATGGGAGAGGACGCGGAACCTGGATGTGGCTTCGACTTTTCGAGTGCGATTGAGGATTGATGTTATTTGACAGGAGATATGCTTGTTGGATGACTTGCTGGGTCGATTGATGGGAGCTCGTGGTCATGATGTAGTGCAGGCGCGTTGTCATCATCTTGTCCAATTTGCTCTTGACAGGACCTCTCAGCGCCAGCACCAGCGAGATCCACCCTCCGGAACAAATACATGGCATCGCAAAGCAGAGTATCCCTAAGATGGCTCGGTGTTCTTTCTCCCTCCCTCTTCCCCACTTCCGACACACATCGCATTTCACCGCTGGCTAGGATCTCGGCAGCACCGAGTTCACGGATCATCGGCACCCAATAAAACTCGTCGCAACCCACGATCCATCTCCAAGCATAAACGTGGCCCATCTCATATCGTCCGAAACATGCATATTTGAAACGAAAGTGGACTGGACAAGCCTCATCAAAACCGAAGAGCCGCCTGCGCACCGCCACATTTCCGTATCTCATTCGTCGAGTTATGCATCGCGTTACCTACCGCGTCACTTGGTACAAACTTGATCGAACTTGCGTGAGCGGGTGGCAGTGCAAAAGCATAGTGCAGCTTCATTCTTCCGCTCTCCGCAAACTACTCCGAGCTCACTAAGGGGCGATCTCTCTGGAAAATCTTAGGGCAGCTGGCCAGGCCCTGGAGGCCAAAAATAAAAACCACCCGCCAGAGATGCCATGGCAGAGCCGCGTACCCGGCGTTAAAACGGCGCGTTGGGACAGCCAATGGCTGGGCGTGCCTGGTGGAAGGCGGCTAGGGTCTGGCTCTAGCGAGGCGTCACAGCTCCCTCTAGCGCCGACGTCTTGACAGGGCACGACAGGGATCGACGGTCCTTTTCCATCCGCTCTCACGGGCAAGGGACGCGAGGCACTGCTCGTAGCTCTGAACTCTCTCTCACTGCCGTTACTGCTTACTGCTGCCGTTGCTTGCTTCACTCTTGGCTTTCCTTACACTTTGCTTTGTACTCTCTTTCTGCTTTGCGCGTATACCCACTTGACATTTTTCCTCGTGAAGAGCAGGCAGCCGAATAACCCCGAATACGACCAACGGCGATCTTTACGATACAGCAGATCTTACTCAGATCCCAGTGAGAGAGAGGGGAACACGAGGAAGACATGCGCTGAGCTCTCGGACCCGAGATCGACCCTCAACACCACGTGTACCCGTCACACGTGCTACCACAATCGCTACCACACCTTCGCTACACGTTACACCCGTCACTCGCTATGGCATCCACACTACCGAACGTGCTGCTCCGGCGGGACCTGAGCATAGAGCAGAAGTTCGAGCAGTTGATGACAGAAAATGCCCTGGGCGCTTCGGTACATGCAGCCCCCATCAGTCGCATACAATTCTAACATCCCCAGGTATCCCAAGACTCCGTCCTCGTCGCTATTGGCACATCTTTCGGCATCACCGCCGCCATTTTCGTACTTTTCCTCCTACTGCGTCCTTTTAATACTATCGTTTACGCGCCCCGTCTCCGACACACCGACGAGAAACACCGACCGCCGCCTCTCGACAAATCGCTGTTCGCGTGGTACAAGCCCGTGTTCAAGACAAACGAACCCGAATATGTTGAGAAGATTGGACTGGATGCGACCATCTTCCTGCGTTTTGCGCGCATGTGCAGGAACATGTTTGTCGTACTCGCCATCGTTGGCTGTGGCATTATCGTTCCCGTCAACGTCATCAAGTCGGTGGAATTCCAGAAGAATTTCGATGGAGACATGAGCGGCAAGATCATCTTCCTGATGACACCTAGAGATCTATTCGGTCAGGTTTTCTGGGCTTTCGTCGTGCTGGCATATCTTATCGACATCATCGTTTGCGGCTTCTTGTGGTGGATGTACCGCGCTGTACACCGGATGAGACGTCAATACCTCGAGCACCCAGACTACCAGAACAGTCTGCACGCGCGGACGTTGATGGTTACGGATATCGACCGCAGCTTTCGCAGTGACCAGGGCATCGTCGAGGTTACGGATAGCTTAAAGACTACGCCAGAGGTGCCCCGTGCATCCATCGGACGTAACGTGAAGGATATCCCAGATCTTATCGAGGCACACGAAGAGGCGGTCATTGAGCTGGAAAAGATATTGGCAAAATACCTGAAGAATCCGAACAAGCTTCCCGCCGAGCGACCGCTATGTACTCCCTCGAAGAAAGACCCAGAGTTCACCGACAAGGCGCAAAAGGTGGATGCAATTGACTACCTCACAGCGCGCATTCAGCGATTAGAAAGCAAGATTAAGGAGGTGCGGGAGACAATCGACAAGCGTGACGCTCTATCATACGGATTTGCTAGCTACGAGAGTATCGACTCTGCGCACATGGTCGCCTTCGCAGCCCGCAGCAAGCACGTCAAAGGCACCACCGTCCGACTCGCCCCCAAGCCAAAGGACATCATCTGGAAAAATCTTACCCTCGATCCCAAGACGCGACGATGGAGGAGGACTGTGAACAACTTCTGGATCACCCTGCTCACGCTCCTGTACTTCATCCCCAATGCCCTGATCGCCGTCTTCCTGTCCAAACTCTCCAACCTGGGTTTTGTATGGCCTACCTTCCAGACCGAACTAGCCGCACACGCCGATTTCTGGGCCGTCGTTCAAGGTCTCGCAGCTCCGGCACTCACCTCGCTCTTCTACTACTTCCTCCCCATCATCTTCCGTCGCTTGTCTATCAAGGCCGGAGACACAACCAAGACATCCCGAGAGCGCCATGTCACGGCACAATTATACGCCTTTTTCGTTTTCAACAACCTTTTCGTCTTCTCGCTCTTCAGCGCTGTCTTCGGTATGATTGTCATGATTGTCAATCTCGCGACCCAGGAACACGTTCCATTTATGGACATCCTACGTCAAATCAAGTTCTTCGACACGACCATGCGGACCCTGTGCGAAGTCTCGCCCTTTTGGGTTACATGGCTCGTCCAGCGTAACTTGGGTGCTGCTATCGATCTTGCCCAGGCTGTCAACCTCGCGTGGGGAAGTTTCTCGCGCAAGTTCTTGAACCCGACGCCTAGGGAGCTGATTAGTCGGACTGCGCCGCCGCCGTTTGACTATGCGAGTTACTACAACTACTTTTTGTTTTACTCGACGGTTGCGCTGTGCTTTGCGCCGTTGCAGCCGATTACACTGGTTATTGTGGCGATTTACTTCACGCTCGATAGCTGGATGAAGAAGTATCTTCTGATGTAGGTCTTAACTCCAAAACCCTCAGATACCCTACTAACATATGTTTAGGTACGTCTTCTGCACCAAGAACGAGTCAGGCGGTGCTTTCTGGCGTGTGCTCTTTAACCGCATGCTCGTTGGCACTTTCTTCTCCAACTGCATCGTTGCACTACTGGTCGTAGCCCGCGGTTACGAACACAAATGGACCATGCTGGCCGCCATGGCCCCTCTCCCTCTCGGCCTAATCGCCTTCAAATTCTACTGCAAGAACGCCTTCGACCACTCGCTCAAGTATTACACACAAGGCACCCGCGCCAAGGGCACCGAAGCCCCAACCCCAATAGACAAGGAATCGCGTCGGCGGGATCGCGTTGCCGTGCGATTCGGGTAAGTCATCTATTCACTGTCACGATGAAACCAAGTTACTGATATGTTGTAATAGCCACCCAGCCCTCTACCAAAAACTCACCGTCCCCATGGTGCACGAAAAATCCAAACACCTCCTCGCCGAAGTCTACCGTGGCCGCCTCGACGGCGACATCGGCGACACGGCCGCCTTCTCCGACGTCTACACCATGAAACGCATGTCCAAAGAACACCCGGGTAAAACCGCCGCTTCCACCAACATCTCGAGTGGAGGAGGGGGCGCAACCGGCCCCTTTGAATTCGTGTCGGAATCGAATATGGACTTTGAGAATTATAAAAACAGACCTGAGTTCAGCGATGAACACGGCGGCGAGGGCAGTTTGTATGGGGGGAGTACGGTGGGGAGGCCTGATACACCCGGTTCCCACTGGGGCCGCGATAACTCGACCAACAACAGCGATCGTGGGAGGAGTACAAGTCGCGATTCTGAACGTACCATGCGCGACGATCCTGGCGTTCTGTACCCGGCTGGCTACCATCAAACACCCAGTGCGTTGCGCGAATACAGTCCTAGTCCCAGTCTTGATCTGAGGGGCGTGGATAGTAGAGAGAGTCCGTATGAGATTGGAGGAGGGGATCAGGGGAGGTTGGTTAGTGGGGCTGCGCCTATGGGTGTGGGGAGTGGGTTGGCTGGAGGTGGGCATGGACAGCAGCAGTATACGCCGTATAGTCCTAGTAGGGATGGGGCGAGGGATTACTTTGGGAGGTAGTTAGGAAAGGATGGGGATGTGTGTTGGTGACGAATTTCTTATGTGTTTGATAATATAGCGGCATCTGGATGGGCGTCGTAGTCATCTTTGAGATTTTAGATACCAGGATCATATGTCTATGGGCGTACGAGCGCTCGACAGCCATATTTCCCACATCTTTATCATACACGCACACTAGAGTGCCACAAGCTTCTTCCCAACAGAAATATGGCTCGGCATCATATCCTTCAACATCCCCACATCCACCTCCAGCGGATTAACCCCCCAAACCGCCAAATCCGCCACAAACCCCGGTAAAAGCCGTCCCCTCTCCCCCTCCTCTCTCAGCAGTTCCGCAGCCTTAGTCGTATGCAACGCAACCGCTTCCCCCACGGTAATCGCATGTTCAACCCCCCTAACCCCAATCACAGTCTCGCGGCTCGCCATCCCCCAAACCGACCGCATAGCGGCAAAACTACCAACAGGATAGTCGCTCCCGCCCGCAATCAGCGCACCAGCATCCAACCACGTGCGCGCGGGGAAAGTGCGGGATACGCGCTCTGAGCCCCAGTATACCTCCTGGACACCCGCTGCGTTATGGAGAAGCGGATGTTGGATCGTCGTTGCGATTCCCAATTTCACGGCTCGAATCTGTTCAGCCGGTGAGACTAGGCCTCCGTGTTCCATAACCAGAAATCCAGGCGTTAAGTACGGAAACCGTTGCATGAGTTCCTCGTATACACCCAGTACCAATTTCACAGCACGGTCTCCATACGCATGCGTTCCTATTTTCCATCCGCGACGCACGACCGCGGTCATGGCTTCGACGAGCGCCGGTTTCTCCCACGTGAGCATCCCGTGATAGGAGGGGAGGCCGCAGCAATTGCAATTTGCGTCTTTTTCGCGGCCGGGCGGGATGGACAGGTAGGGAGAGGTGACGGCGCCTGCTTCCATGCCGCCGTCGACCATGAATTTGACGCCCCAGACGGAGAGGTAGGGGGCGGTTTGGAGGTGGCGGTATGCTTCCATGTTGGAGAGGAGGGTTTCGACTTGTGAGGCGGTGGTCATGCCTACGGCGGGTATGAGGGCGTGGACGCGCACGGCAAGTTTTCCGGCGGAGTAAGTGGCGATGAGGGCGTCTAGGTCGGCGAGCGGGACGTAGCAGTCGCGCACGCTGGATGTGCCTGTTAAGGCGTAGGCGCGGCTTGCGGCTTCTAGACCGGAGATACGTTCGGAGAGGGTTGTGGAGGGTTTTAGTTTGAGGATGGGGACGGTGGCGGAGTCTTGGAAGAGGCCGGAAAGACTGCCGTCTGCTTCTTTTCCGATGAGGCCGCCGGGTGGTGATGGGGTGGTGGAGGTTACGTTTAGCAGGTTTGCGACGACCGAGTTGACGACAACGTTGTGACCACCGCGCATAACCATGATGGGATGCTTAGTCGAAACAGCATCGAGTTCCTTCAACGTAGGCAACCTCTGCTCCTTGATATTGTACTCCAACCAATCCGTCGCCGTACAAATCCACTCCCCTTCTTTCGTCTCGCTCGCCCGCTTCTTCAATCTTGCGAACAGTTCGTCCAAGCTCTTTACGTCATTGACTGGAACGTCGAAGTAGGTCAATCCGGCGAGAATCAGATGGGTATGCGTATCTGTGAATGCGGGGAGGACAGTGGAGTCTGGCACGTCGATGATTTGGGTTTGACTGCCGATGAAGTCGTCTAAGCCGGATGGGTCCTCGGAGAGAGCGATGATGCGGCCGGAGAGGAGGGCTATGGAGCGCTGTGGTGGCATGCCGGGTTGGAGTGTTTCGATTGTGCCGGCGCGGATTAGGGTGTCTGCTTGCGGGTGGGAGGATGATGAAGCCATGATGGGCGAGATATGCTGTGCTGTTCTAAAAGTGGTGATGCTGGTTTGAAGTTATAACAGAGAAGTAGTTGTTTTGATCATGTAGTAGCGTAAGGCTTTCAAGCACTTGCTCGTTCTACTTGTACTCAACCGTTCGGCCGAACGTCCGTCGCGGCTGTTAATGCCCCTCGACATTCGTTACAGCATATCCATGACTTTATGCGGACGCGTGATAGCGTGCTCATATAGCGCCGCAACTCCAAGTTGTGGCTGGACCGACATCGTGAACAAGTTTGTGGCAATGGACGGTCGGCGTGGATGTCCTAGCTAGAGGTCGGTGGTCGCGTGCTTAGTAGGCCGAAAGCGGCGTTCGGGCTTAGAACGCGCGGCACGTCACATACTACGGCTAAATGTTGATGTCAAACTCTGTAGCTGTGAAGTCAGTACGACGAGGGTTGTACGAAGCGCAAACGAAACCGTGCGAACCCAACTTGAGACATCGCACATCGTTTCTCCGCAGATTGTGCGTGCGCGCCCGACGAGGCAAGGACAGCTGACAGGTCGATGATTGAACGATGGCGTTAATGAAAGAAGTGTGGACGGTCTCGAAGTGTTTACAATTGTTCTTGCCGTTCTTTAAAGTATGACGATCAACCGTCACCCAGTAATGCGTAAGCGTTTCCCTCCTGCGGCTTCGCCTGCATTCTCTGCACAAACTTCTTCTTCTTCCTCTCTGCTTCCTTCATTTGCTTCTTCCTCTGCTTGTTGGATATCTGTTCGCTTGGTATTCCCACACCAGCAGAGGTATATATCTCTTCGATCAATTCCTTCAGCACGTCGTGTTCGGCTAAGATGCGCTTCGCCTGCCCAGGTACACCCATCACGTCCGTTATTGAGGGGAAGTCGGACATGTGACCGGCGATATTGTGCACCACCCTGCGTAGCCTGGCGTTTTCAGCTTCTTGTGGGTCCTCAGGGATTATTATGGGGTCAGGATCCATCATTGCCCTCGCGACTTTGACCATTTGGAGTAACATGCGAAGAGAGTAGAGAGCAGCATGCAGTCTAGCCGTGAGGTGTACAAAAGCCCAACTGTTATCGAAGTCGCAGTTCAACACACGCTGAACCAGGGGTATGGGCGGCGGCGTGTTGAGTTCGGTAAGGACTAGACTGAGACCAAAGAGCGACCATAGGAGCGCTGAGCTGACGGACTTCTCCTCACCCCAGGATCTCAGGCTGCGCATCTGCGACTCCAGGTCATCCACTGGGCTCTGGTCAAAACACCGAGGGTATATGGGAACTTCCTGGACTGATATCCCTTGCGCTTTTCTTCTGTACTCTTGTACTACCGTATGCTCTATTGTCGCACGTAGCTTGTAAACCAGTCTACGGATATCGCACCCTATGTTCCATGCTGATGCCTGGGATGGCTCTTCAATAAGTAAAGGCAAGTACACGTGCGGGTGTTCGTCGTTGGTAAAGGTTTGGTGCACATATTCAGATAGCCGGACGTCGATCTGAGGCGGATTTACTAAGTCTGGTTCTTCAAGGTAAGCCGGCATTGTGATCTTCGCGACGTAGCGACTAGCGAAGTCAATGTACCGGCGAGACTTCTGGTCTACATCCTCAGCTTGGTGAGCTAGCAGCTTTGCACTATCCTGTGGGTTCTCGACAAGCTTGTATGCGAACGTCACTAGACTCGTCACTTGTAACTGCTTTCGGATCTCGGCTGGTGAGTACGCCTTGATACCAGTAGAGATGTCTGCATCGTGGAGAAATACGATGAGCGTATCTTCGGAATAGTCGTATAGAATAAGGTCGGTGTCGCTCGTGAAGATGATGGATCGTACATGCTTTTTCGCGTGGGATGCGCACCAGTCGTCTGCTTCCCCCGGTACTGTATGGGTATATGTAGCAAAAGGGGAATCTGTCTCTACTAGCGCTTCTTGTAGTGCGGGCGCAAGGAACGCGTATGATATCGAGCCCAGATATGTGGGAACAGGACAAGAAACGGTAGCGTAGTTGTTGCGGAATTGCTGCACTCGTCTGTTGTTCGCCTCGGTCCTGGACAGTCGCTCGGCTCGCTTTGAAGTAGGCAAGGCTCCATCGAAGTAGATGGCAGACCTGAGAACGTGCGATCAGCAGTGGACGGCATAAGCTCACATCAGCACTCGCATAACGTGCATAGAACGGTCACGGTCAAGTGCAATCAAGCAACTTTCCCATATCGACTCCACGATAAGTGAAGTTTTTGCAACCCCTGCAGCAATGGCGGTGAAGTGAAGAACATATGTGCGCACCTTATTGGCTTGCCGTGGTGATTCCGTGTCCGGGCGCTGAAAAGCAACTGTGGTTTACTCACACCTTGATGTTGCTCTTCTCCAACGAGTACAGCCAGCGGCGTGCTTCAGCGACGATGTCTGCATAAGACGGGATTCGGGTGGCGCTAGCGGCTGAAGCGAGGGCCAATTTGTGAGCGTGGTAGGCGAGCGCAGGGCCGTCTATCACGGCGGAGTAGCCGTCTAGCTGCTCGGAGGAAAGTCGCGTCGCATAGGGTTCGAGACGCCTGGCAAGGCCCTGGATACCCATTTTGACCAGGTGGTTGAGGGTGTTGGGAGGGAAGGTGTGTTCTAGTCGAGACGGAAGGAACGATAGTATGCACACGGCCAGGGTACCCCCGCAAAGAGTCTAGGGCGAAGCGAGGCGGGGAGTGGTCAGTCAGGAGTGTTGTGCAGTGTCTCGGCCTTAGATGCAGAGCTAGTGCATAGGCGCAGCGAGTGTTAGGACGTTAACGAGAAAAAGTCGTCAATAATAGCCAGAAGGCTTAGACAACAGCCGTAGTTAGCGCCCTCGCTATTATTATCTAGTCTTTAGTCTAGCTATTATCTCTTTTTATAATAGCTAGGTAGTATTCTAATTTAAATATATTAGTAAGTACTACTATTTATATTAATATATTATTATAAGATAAGTAGATAATAAAAGTAAAATATCTTCTTAATTAAGTTTTAAGTATTATTACTACTTAATTATAAAATTTAAGATATATATATACTATACTTAAGTCTTTTTATTTTTTATAAAGTTATAAACTTATCTCTTATTTATTTATATATCTAAACTTTATAAAGCTTTACTTATTATAAGTTTATACTAGTTATATAGTAATAAAGAACTTCTTAAGAATAAAGCTAAGTATAGTCTTTTTTAAAATAGTAGCTATTAATAATATATATATAGCTACTAAAGAAGCTTTAGATATATACTTATTAGCTAAGTATAGTATTATTTATTCTATAATAGCTAGTAGAGAAGAGAACCTATATTATATAAGTACTTAATATAGGCCTTAAGAGTACTAGTAACTATAATATTACTACTATTAATACTATTAATACTAGTATTAGCCTTAATAAAAAAGTACTTAAGAAAGATTTTTAGAAAGTAGTAGTTAGTATAGTCTTAGATAGAATAATAGTATATAAAAAAAGAACTTATAGCTTTAGAAGTAGCTATAGTAGTTCTAAAGAGAAAAGTAGTAATAATAGTAGTAGCTTTTATATTTATAGGTTAGTTCTTAATTACTAGAGGTAGTAGAGGTATAGAGATTAATATACTAAGTATAATAGAAAGTTTAAAGTAGATAATAGTTATTATTAAAAAATAAAAATAAAGTATTTATAAGTTATTTTTAGTAAGTAAATATTATTACGTAAATAGTAGTAGTATTAGAGTTCTACTAAAGCTAGTAAAAGTATAACTATAGAATAGTTATTATATTATAGTTATTAGTAGATAGAGATAATATTATAGTTATAGTTAATAAAGAATAAATATAGTAAGTTTTATTAGTAGTATACCTATTACTATATATTATATTATTTCTAGTTATTTTTAGTTATAGTATAAACTAGAAAGTTATATAAGTAAGTATAGAGTTAGTTTATAAGCTAGTAATAACTTTATTACTAATAGTAATATATTCTAAATTAATATTAAAATTATTTTAGTAGTTTTAAAAGAGACTAGTATAGAGTCTTTTAATACTTTTTAATATCTTTTAATATCTTTTTACTATAAAAATAACTCTAAATTAGACTTAAGGTACTAATTAATTTTATATAATCTTATTTACTTATTAGTATTAAGAATTATAAAAATATCTTTCTTTTATATCTATACACTTATAGTTCTCTTTTATAATAATACTCTTTCTTACTTATCTAGAATAATAAACTTACTTTTCTTAGTAGCTAGTAGCAGCGCTGTAGAACTTAGTATACGCTACCTAGTATAGTTTATTAACTAGATCTCTAAAGTACTTATTCTATATAGTAGACTTTATTCTAAGTTAGGTACTAATTACGCATGTGTTTCTAGAACAATTCTCTAGAAATGTAAACCTAATTTAGATTATACCTATAAGAATAAATGCTATTCTTCTAATTATATACTTATAGATATCTTATAAGGTTACTCTAAGTAGCGTAGGCTTTCTTATATTTTAGATATAGAAAGTTTTACTTTATTATAGTAGTTATAAAAGTATCTACTAGTATAGCTACTAGTGCTGTATAGCTACGTTAATAGATATCTAGATTCTTTTAATTTAGTATAGAGTAAATGTAAGAGTATTTATTATAATATAAGTAGTAATACTAAAATATAGTTACTAAATTTCTACTATTACTATTAAAAGTCTCTAATTATACTACTTACGCTATTTTATTCTTTTAGGCTATAGTTTAGTTACTAGTAATATTTATTAACGTAAGCTTGTAGAGAAAGAACACAGAAGTTATCTTAGTAAGTTATATTATAGTTAGCTAGCTAGATTGTAAAAGCGCTATTAGTGCCTTATTAGATATTATACTTAGTAGTGCAAAATCTTTAAATAATAATTCTAATATAGTATTATTATACTCTTTCTTATTAACGTCTCTATTACTATTATTATTACTATTATTAGCTAGAAGGCTAAATATAACTAATATTAACTCTACTTAAAGGCCTACTATTAG